CCTCCTCCTCTCTATCCTCCTCCCTCCTCCCTTTCCATTACCTCATCCTCTCTATCCTCCTCCCTCCCTCCCTTCCTCTCCATTTCCTCCTTCACTCTATCCTCCTCCCTCCCCTCTCACTCTCTCCCTCACACCAGAAAGGTCGTCAAATTAGGCACCACCCGGTCTCCTAATGCCACCAATAACTTTATCGCCGGCTGCCACTCCCAAGAAAATTGACCATTCCACTCCCTTCCCATCCCCTCTATTCATCTAGTCATTTATTCATCTATTTATTTTCCATACTGCTTATCTCCTCTCTCAGGACATGCATGAAAAGCCTCGTAAAACCCTTCTCTCGTAAAACCCTTTATTTTCCCCTTCTTTCTTAGGGTGTAAAATCCCTTTTCCATTTCTATATTCACTTTGCAAAATAACGAAGTACCTCATCCTTCACTTCGTTAACTCCCTCCTTTTCCTACTTTTCTTCTTCTTCCTCTTCCGTCTGCTCTTCATCTTCATACTACACTTCCTCCTTTTCCCATTGCCTCTTGCTGTCTCTTTTCATCTTCCTCCTTCCCTTCCTCTCTCTCTTCCTCTTCCACCTCACTCTCCTCATGTTCCTCTTCCTCCTCTCTTTTTTCCCTTCTTCCTTCTCCCTTTCTTCTTCCTCCACTCCCTCTCCTCTTCTTCTTCCTCCTCCCTTTTTCCTTCTTCCTTCTCCCTTTCCTCATCCACCTCACTCTCCTCTTGTTCCTCTTCCTCCTCTCGTTTTTCCCTTCTTCCTTCTCCCTTCCACTTCCTCCTCCTCCGAGACAAATCCAATTCCTTCTTTCAATTTCTTCAAGAGATTTAAGGGCCTAATAGGAGGCGTCCGACCCACCAAACCCACTAACCCACCATTCCATCAACACTTGTATACCGCCCCCAGCACCCATCTTCCCACTAACCCACTCACACCCACCCAGTCTTTCTCTGCCGCCTTCCACAACCCCATCAAATTATTAAAAGAAAGTTCGCGTGTGTGTGTATATTTTCTCTCTCTCTCTCTCTCTCTCTCTCTCTCTCTCTCTCTCTCTCTCTCTCTCTCTCTCTCTCTCTCTCTCTCTCTCTCTCTCTCTCTCTCTCTTCCGTTGTCTTTCTTCTCCTGTTCTCTCTTCCGTTGTCTTTCTTCTCCATTTCTTCTCCTTTGCCTTCTTCTTTACTCGAAATCTCTCTTCTGTCTCGCATCCTTTTCCGTCCTCCCTGTCCTGCATCACCTCTTCCTAAAGCCTCCCTCCCTTCACCTTCCAACCTTCTTTCATTTCATTCTCTCCTCCCCTCCCTTCCTCCCTACAGCCATCCCATCACATTTTCTCTCCTCTTCTCCCCCTCCTCCCTCTCTCCCTCCTTCCTTCCTTCCTCTCCAACTCCACCTCCTCCCCCCTTCCTCTCCTCCTTCCTTCCTCCCCTCCAACTCCACCTCCTTCCTTCTTCCTACTCGTATCACCTTCCCCTTCCCGAAAATGCTATCAATAAACCTGTCCGCAAAATGACACTTACTCTATTTCCCATTATAAAGTGTCACCCCCCCCCCCCCGCAGCATGAGATATGCCTACTGTCACGCGATTTTTTTTTTTTTTTTTTTTTTTTGTGAAGGGGAGAGCTTGAGCTTTCCATCGCTTAATATCTGCCGTATGATTTTTTTTTTACCTTCTTTTGACATTATTTATTGTATTTTTTTCCTGGCTTTCTTTTTATTGTGGTATTGTGTGTGGTTTGGTTTGCTTGCTTGTTTGTTTTTGTTTGTTTGTTGTGGATTTTCTTTGAGGATAATCTGCTGTTTCTATCTTTCCCTTTTTTCATTCTATATCTTCCCCTTCTCTCTCTCTTATGCTCTTTCTCTTTTCCCTTTCTTTATCTCTCTCCCTCTCCCCTTCTCTTCACACTTTCTCTTCCTCTCTCCTCCAACTTCCCTTCCCTCTCCCATCCCCCTCGTCCTGTCCATCCCCCTCTACCTTCCTCCCTTTCTCTCACCCCTTCCTCCTTTCCCATTCTCCCTCCCCTTCTCCCTTCTTTCCCCTCCTCCTCTTTCCCTTCCTTTCCCCTCCCCTCTCTCTCTCTTCCCGCTCCCTCCTCCCTCCTTTCTCTTTACTCTTCCCCTACCCTCCCTCCTCTCCTACCCTCCTCCCCCTCCCTTATATCCCTTCCCCCATCCTCCTACTCCCCACCACCTCCTCCAGATCCCACTCCCTCCTCCTCCCCTCCTTTCTCTTTACTCTTCCGTACCCCTCCCTCCTCTCCTCCTCCCCTCCCGTCCCACATCTCTCTACCCCCATCACCTACCCCCACCACATCCTCCCCATCCTCCTCCCCGCTCCCACTCCCTCCTCCTCCCTCCTTCCTCCTTACCCCTCCCCCTCCCCCATCTCCATTTCCCCATCCTCCTACCCCACATCACCACCTCCTCCCCATCCTCCCTTCGCACGTGACCCAAAGCGCAAGTCTCGGACACATTCGTCACCCGCCCGTGTCAACCTCTCGTGTTCGCCACTCCTCCATCAACGTCAGCTTTTATCGTCAACGTCAACCGTCAACCTCCATATAACGGTAACAAGAGAGAGAATAGAGACACCCCATGAGGCCGTCGTCACACCCATGAGGCCGTCGTCACACCCACGAGGCCGTCGTCCACCCATGAGGCCGTCGTCCCCCGTCGTCACCCCCAAATCGTCGTCACCCCCATGAGGCCGTCGTCCCCATCGTCGTCACCCATGACCCCATGAGGCCGTCGTCACCATGAGGACGTCATGAGGACGCCCCATCGTCGTCACCCCATTCGTCACCCATGAGGACGTCGTCACCCCATCCTCACCCCGCCGTCGTCACCCCATGAGGCCGTCGTCACCCCATGAGGACGTCGTCACCCATGAGGACGTCATCACCCCATGAGGACGTCGTCACCCATGAGGACGTCGTCGCCCCATGAGGACGTCGTCCATGAGGACGTCGTCACCCCATGAGGACGATCACGTCGTCACCCCATGAGGACGTCGTCACCCCATGAGACGTCGTCACCCATGAGGACGTCGTCACCCCATGAGGGCCGTCGTCACCCCATGACACCGCCGTCGTCCCATGAGGCCGTCGTCACCCCATGAGGACGTCGTCACCCCATGAGACGTCGTCACCCATGATCACCCATGACGTCGTCACCCCATGAGGACGTCGTCACCCCATCGTCGTCACCCCAATGAGGACGTCGTCGCCCCTCATGAGGACGTCGTCACCCATGACGTCGTCATGACGTCGTCACCCCATGAGGCCGTCGTCACCCCATGAGGACGTCACCCCTGAGGCGCGTCACCCCGGCCGTCGTCACCCCATGAGGCCGTCGTCACCCAGGCCGTCGTCACCCCATGAGGCGTCGTCACCCCCATGAGCCGTCGTCACCCCATGAGGCCGTCGTCACCCCATGAGGCCGTCGTCACCCCATGAGGCCGTCGTCACCCCATGAGGACGTCGTCACCCCATGAGGCCGTCGTCACCCCATGAGGCCGTCGTCACCCCACGAGGCCGTCGTCAGGCCGTCGCCATGAGGCCGTCGTCACCCCACGAGGCGTCGTCACCCCAGAGGCGTCGTCACCCATGAGGCCGTCGTACCCCATGAGGCCGTCGTCACCCATGAGGCCGTCGTCACCCACGTCGTCACCCATGAGGCCGTCGGAGGCCGTCGTCAGGCCGTCGTCACCCCATGAGGCCGTCGTCACCCCATGAGGCCGTCGTCACCCCATGAGGCCGTCGTCACCCCATGAGGCCGTCGTCACCCATGAGCCGTCGTCACCCCATGAGGCCGTCGTCACCCCATGAGGCCGTCGTCACCCCACACCCATGACGTCGTCACCCCATATCGTCACCCCATGAGGCCGTCGTCACCCCATGAGCCGTCGTCACCCCATGATCCCGGACGTCGTCACCCCATGACCACCCGTCGTCACCCCACGAGGCCGCGCCATGAGCCGTCGTCACCCCATGAGGCCGTCGTCACCCCACGAGGCCGTCGTCACCCCACAGGCCGTCGTGAGCCGTCGCACCCCATGAGGCCGTCGTCACCCCATGAGCCGTCGTCACCCATGAGGCCGTCGCCGTCGTCACCCATGAGGCCGTCCCCATGAGGCCGTCGTCACCCCATGAGGCCGTCGTCACCCCATGAGGCCGTTCGTCACCCATGAGGCCCGTCGTCACCCCATGAGGCCGTCGTCACCCCATGAGGCCGTCGTCACCCCAGAGCCGTCGTCACCCCACGAGGCCGTCGTCCCCATGAGCCGTCGTCACCCATGAGGCCGTCGTCACCCCATGAGGCCGTCGTCAGGCCGTCGTCACCCATGAGGCCGTCGGAGGCCGTCGTCACCCCACGAGGCCGTCGTCACCCACGAGGCCGTCGTCACCCCATGAGGCCGTCGTCGTCACCCGCCGTCGTCACCCACGAGGCCGTCGTCACCCACGAGGCCGTCGTCACCCATGAGGACGTCGTCACCCATGAGGCCGTCGTCATTCGTCACCCCATGAGGCCGTCGTTCTCCCCTCGCGTAGTACGCAAACCAGGGAGGGGGATATGCGCGCGTGTGATAAAGAAGACGACCGAAATAATCGATGAGTCCCACTCCGCGAATACCATTGCTGGAAACTATTTACTAAAAGCAATTCTGTATGTGTGACCCTCCCCCCCCCTCCCTCTCCCATCCATCCCCCTTACCTCCTCCTTCCCTCTCATCATTCATGCCTTCTCCCACCAACATCCAACCCCACCCCACCCCAAAATCCTCCCCTTCCTCATCCTCTACCTAACACCCCCTCTCTTTCCCTTTCATCATTTATACCTTCTCCTCCCCAACGCCCCCACCCCCTCCACCCACCCACCCACCTACTCACCCCCCATACCCCCCCCCCCTCATGTCCACCCATGACGTAGAGATATTAAGCAACATCATTCACCGCCCATGCCAGGCACATGTCCCACCGCATGCCAACCATCCCCCGTTCATGCATTATTAACAACAACATCATTTAGGTCATGCTGAGGGCAGGATCATGGCACATTATCACGAAGCTATCAACAGCAGCGCATAACGGGGGTTGTTCCTGCACCGCCAACACTCGATGTGATGCAACGGGCTGCTTGCAGGACCTATATGGGGGAAGGGGGGAAGGGGGGAGAGAGGGAGAGTGGCATGTTGCAAGAGACATTTTTTTTAGCGATGTCGACGGGATGACATACACATTGCAGAGTCGCAACCCATTAGCAAACCAATCTCGCCACTAAGGAGACAGATAATAGACTTTTCAGAGAGCAGAGAGGCTTCCCAATATGTAAATGAAACAAAAAATAAAAAAAATATATGAAAAAAAAAATCGAGCATCAACAATGGCCCGATTCCTAAAGCTGATGTGACGGGAAGTTCTCTGCCCGGCCTCGTAATATGCAGCGGCTATATTGCCCCGACTTGCACACGCACTAACCACGCCAAACGAAAACAAACAAAGCACACAGCAATGACGTACCTCTATCTTAACCTCCTTACTCCTCCCCCTCCCTCCCCTTCCCCCCTTTTAATGCCATTGCCAAACAAATGTAATAAAAATGGTGTTTAATGATGACGCTGAATTGGAAAAGAGAGAAAGAGAGGAAAAAAGGAACTAGCAAATAAAATGGTCTTGTATTTCTATTTCGGAGGAAAAATCCACATTTCGTTTCCAAATGAAACGGGGTTTGAATGCGCTGACTTTGTGTATGGAGAACATGAGAGGGGAGAGGGAGGAAGGAGGACAGGAGGGAAAAAGAAGAGAGGCCAAGAGGGGGAGAGAGAGGGAGTGGGAGAAGGATGGAAGTAGGGAGAGAGGGAGGAAGAGAGAAGAAAGAGAGAGAGAGAGAGAGACAGATACAGGAGAGAGAAACAAAGACAGAGAAAAGAGAGAGAAAAAGACAGAGACAACAGAGAGACAGAACATACGAAGAGACCGACACAGACAGACAGAGAGAAAGAGAAGCAAAGACACAGGCAGAGTGACCCAAACCCACCCCAACCCCAACCCACCCTCCAACAATCGCTAAACGTATTCGCGTCCCCGGGTACAACTGCGCCTTCTCACGAGAGGGTCGCCATGCATGCAACTGGTACCGACGCGGTTCATGGCAACGGCGCCGACAGACTGAGCCATGTGCGGGGGGGGGGGGGGGAGATGCCGCTACGCCCCGGCGAGAGTGAGACGCACACCTGTTGTTCTCTTTCTCCTCTCCTCTCTCTCTCGTCTTCCTCTCTCCTCTCACCCTTTCCTTCTCGTTTCCCTCTCTCTCTCGCCCTTTCTCTCGCTCTCCTCTCATTCCATCTTTTCTCGTCTTCCCTCTCCTCTCACCCTTTCTTTCTCGTCTTCCCTCTATCCTCTCACCCTTTCTTTCTCGTCTTCACTCTCCTCTTTCTCCACTCTTTCTGCTCTTCCCTCTTTCTCCAATTCCCTCTCACTTCTTTCTCCTCTTCCCTCTCCTCTCTTTCTCCTCTTCCTCCTACTTCCTCTCCCCTCTTTGTCCTAAACCCTTTCCCTTCTTTCTCCCCTTCCCTCTCCTCTCTTTCGTTCTCTTTTCTCTTTCTGACTGACTGACTCAGTGTCCTTCTGTATGTCTTGTCTCTATCTCTGTACTTCTCTTTCTCTCTTCTCTTTTCATCTTCTCTCCCCCCCTTCTCTCCTTTCCTCCTCTTCCTTTCACTCCCTCCTACTCTGTGTCTATTTGTCTATCTATGTATTTGTCTGTATCTATGTATGCCCATCTTCTTGTTCACTTTTCTTAATTGTTCATTTCCTTGCTTGCTTCTATGTTTATTTACCCCCCTCCACCCCCACCACCATCACCAATCATAAGCAGTCGAAAGGATGGTATAAAAGTTTGATAAAAAAAACCAACTATTTTGCAATTAATAACCAAGGTTGTGTGCCAAAGGTCAGACGATCAACAGGTCAGAGAAAACCTCCATTTTCCTCCCGCCGAGGTGCAAAATGCTGCATCCAAAACTCTTCTGAAAAGTTCGCGGCAAAGAAATGCATTAGAGAGAGGCACGTGCACACTCACGCACATGTACCTTCTCTCCCCTCATAAAAACTTGCATGCATACATATACACACATGCACACGCACATACGCACGCACACGCACGAACACGAACACGAACACAACACACAAAACACAAACACACACACAACAACACACACACACACACACACACACACACACACACAAATAAACAACCCAAATAAAAAACACACACACAGCTGATCGCAAGCAATCCCAGATATAAAAAAAAACAAGATTTAGCGTCTGCAAGCGACTGCGAGCGCCCCCATGAATAAAACACGGCTCAAGATGTCAAGCTGAGAGACACAAAAAAGAAGAAGAAAAGGCTGCAAAAATATGCAAAAAAAAGGAGGAAATCCTCTAAAAAATGGTTCGCAAAAATGGCGAGAGAGTGAAGCGAGAGTGTCAGGTTCAGGTGAAAGAGTGATGTGAGTGACTCGTTAGTGTTTGTGAGGGAGCGGATACGGTGTAGGAATTATGTAGTGTGTGTGTAAAAGTGAGAAATGGATAATCGAAAGTGATTGCTGATTAGGGAGGGAGGGAGGAGGGAGGGAGGGAGGGAGGAGGAGGGAGAGGGAGAGAGGGAGAGAGAGAGAGAGGGAGAGAGGGAGAGAGGGGAGAGGAGAGAGGGAGAGAGAGAGAGAGAGAGAGAGAGAGAGAGAGAGAGAGAGAGAGAGAGAGAGAGAGAGAGAGAGAGAGAGAGAGAGAGAGAGAGAGAGAGAGAGAGAGAGAGAGAAGAGAAAGAAGAAGGGAAGATCACACAGAGTGAAAGACATGCAAGTGTAAAGGTAAATATAAAAAGTAAATAACAGACAGAGAAGAAAATCAGACATGGAGAGCAGAAGAAAGGAGGAGAAGAGAGAAGTGGAGGCAGGATAGAGCAGCAGAGAGGAAAACAAGGAGATGAGAAGGGAAAAGAGAGGGAAAGGATAAAAGAGAGAAAGAGAGAAAGCAACAACCAATCAGATAAAAGAGACACCTAAAAAAAAAAAAAAAAAAAAGGAGAAAGAAAGAAAGAGAGACAGAAAGGCAGGGCATGCGAGCCAGCAGACCAGAGCAGAGCAGGCCAAACGACAGAGACAAACGACCCCCTGCACGCCAGCCCTGCCTTGGCACACGCACCACGACCCTCGGACATGAAGGTGCGAACAGAGCCTCATAAGTCCGGCGATCCCTCCCTCGATGCCGACGCAGGGGGAGGGAAGGGAGGAGAGGAGAGGGAAGGGAGGAGGGGGAGGAGGAGAGGAGGAGAGGGGGAGGGAGGAGAGGGAGAGGGAGGAGGAGGAGAGGGGAGGGAAGGGAGGGGAGAGGAGGGAGGGAAGGGAAGGGGGAAAGGGGAGAGGGGAGGGAAGGGAGGGAAGGGAGGGAGGGAGGGAGGAGGGGAAGGAGGGAGAGGGGAGGGAAGGAGGAGGGGGGGGAGAGAGGAGAGGGGAGGGAAAGGAGGAGGGGAGGAAGGAGAGGGGAGGAGGGGGAAAGGGAAGGCGACGCAGGGGGAGGGAAGGGAGGAGGGGGAAAGGGAAAGGGAAGGAGAATTACGGAGGGAGGCAGAGGGAGGGGGAAGGGGTAGGGCGAGGAAAGGAGGAGGGAGAAGAGGAGGAATGGAGGAGGGGGAGGAAGAAAAAGAGAGCGACGACAACGAAGTGTGAATAATGGACGATAGGAAATGAATGAGGAGAAAGAGAAAGAGAGAGAGAGAGAGAGGACTGACGTATGGGGACAAAGAGAAGAAAAATGAAAGTGGAATAATAGGAATAACCAACAATGGTGAATGAATGAGGAAGAATAGGGGTAGGGGAGAGAGGACGAAGAGCAGGAGACCGAGGACGACAATACAAGTGAGAATAAGGGACAATGATGAATTAATAAGGGGAGAGGAAATAAATTTGTAGATGGAGAGAGGCCAGAGGGAGGAGGGCAAGGCCGCTGATGAAAATGGGAATAATGGAAAATGCTGAATGTACGAGGGGAAACGAATGAAAATGGGAGATGGCGAGGGGGACGTTGATTTAAAAAGCTTGATCACGTTGGGAAAGGATTATAAAATGGAGGAAAATGAAGGAAAAACGAGTGGACAACTAAAATACGACAAAGGCGGAAAAAAAGAAGCAGAGGAGGATAAGAAACAAATAACAATAAACGGGGAAAATAGGGAAAGTCAGTATAAAATCATGCGGAAAGAAAATATAGAATTAAAAAAACTTTAAAAAATAATCGATGAGGAAGAAGCGATAAAGCAGAACACTGCAAAAAGAAAATAAATGGAACGAATGGATATAAAAAAATAGGAGGCAATGAAACTTACAGCAAAATGCACCGGAGAAAAGAGAGAAACAAAAAAAGAGGAAATAAAAAAAGAGGAATGGAAATAGAACAGAAATTCAACCGTGCACAAAAAAAGAGAAAATGTGAAGAGGCGAAAAATACCAAAAGGCGTGGATGAGAGATAGAACAAGAAATAAGAATAAAAGTCAAAACAAGTAACAGAGAGACGAACAGCGTGAATGGGGGGAAGAGCAAGAATTCCTCGAGGGAAAATTACAAATAAAAAGAAGTCAATGAATAGGGTGAATATATTTAGAATAATAATACAATTTCAATAAATTTAGGACGATTTAACATAAATTAGTGAGTGAGTGAGACAGTCACCAGTCATAGTGGCATCAACAATTAAGAAAGAAAGAAAGAAAGAAAAAAGAAAAAAGAAAGAAAAAAAAAAAAAAAGAAAGAAAAGAAAAGAAAAGAAAAAAAAAACTACCTTAAAATAAATAAGAGTAACACTCTCTTTACTCACCGACAACACCAACAACAATAAACACAAACAGACACGAAATACTAGACAGACGAATATATAAAATGAATAAATGAATAAATCAAGAGCGACAGAGGGAGAATGTTTACAGCAAGAACAAAACGCAGATTGATAATATAAATAAATGACATGGGAGGAAGAACTGTCACTCACCAGTGTTTGTGACAACAGGAAGAACAACAAAACGAAAATAATCAATAACAAAACAGAATAAATGAGTACGGCAGAAAGAACAGAAAACAAGAAAAAAAAACAAAACACAAATGAATAAAATAAAGGAATTAACCAGTGAATAAAATAACGAATGAATAAATGGCAAACTGAATAAGAATGAGATTTATAAAACAAATGAATAATTAAATGAAAAAAAACAAGTACGAACGAGAGAAAGAGAATGAATTAATGAACAAAGGGGCGCGAGTGAGATGTATAAAAAAAATAAAAGAATGGGTAAATAATTGAGTACGAACGGGAAATATATACGAATGAATTCATGACTAAATGAATTGTGAGCGGGAGATGAAAATGAATAAATGAAGAAACAGGCCCTAAATGAATAAACAAACCAATCAAAAAATGAGTGAGAGATGCAGAAAAAGATGAATGAATGAATTAGACAAGTACGACTCAGAGACTTGTCAAGCACGAGTGAGGGATATAAAACAGATGAATGAATGAATGAATACATGAGTGAGAGATAAAAAACAGATGAATAAATGAGTGAAAGAGATAAAAACAGAGATGAATGAATAAATAAGTGAATAAAACATGAATAATGAGTGATATAAAACAGAATGAATGAATGAGAATAAACAGTGAATGAATAATGAGATATAAATACAGAATGGATGAATGAATGAATAAATGAGTGAGATATAAAACAGATGAATAAATGAAAATAGATATAAAACATGAATAAAAGAGATATAAAACAGATGAATAAATGAGAGATAGAAAAAAAATTGAGAAATATATAACAGATGAATGAATGAATAAGTGAATGAGAGACACCTCATTACTCACCAGTGTTAGGGGTCCGTGCGTATCCCTCATCCCACCATCGCCGGCCAGGGCTCCACCGCCTAAGGAAAGAAACAAAACAAAAATAAAACATGAAATTGTGAATTATTCAATTAGGATTATGAATCTTAAATATAAATGTATATAATACTAATCCCGTGAAACTGGGACTTGTTAATGTACATGTTTTTTTTTAATCATAAATGTCTATTATATAAAACCCGTGAGATTATGAATTATTGATATAAACACATGAAATTGTGTATTATTCATTTAGGATTATGAATCTTAAATATAAATGTATATCATACAAATTCCGTGAAATTGTGACTTGTTAATGTATATGTTTTTAAATCATAAATGTATATTATATAAAACCCGTGAAATTATGAATTACTGATATACAATTATGAATTCTAATCATGAATGTATATCATATAAATTTCGAGTGATTGGGCATAATGTATTATTACGAATTTTAATAATTAACGTTTATCATGCAAATTCTGAATTATTTATAATGATGATGAATCCAAATATGAATTCAAAATTATCAATGTACAAATAGGAATTTCAATCATGAACGTATCATATAAATTCCCAATTATTAATGTATAAAAAATGATTAATATATAAATATGAATCTCAATCATGAATGTATGTTATATAAATTCCGAATTATTGATACATCATCACGAATTTTAATCATGAATGTACACTAAATACATTCCGAATTATTGATACATCATCACGAATTTTAATCATGAATGTATAATATATATATTCCGGATTATTGATGTACAACTAGGAATTTCAATCACGAAAGAAAAATTGGCTAATTCGATTTTATTCACGCGGTTGGGTAATTATTCATGATCGTAATCGAATAAAATAAAATGAACGCGGCCTCTCTGCTAATTGCGTTTTCAAATAATAATAATAATGATGACGATAATGTGCTTAATTATATCAGGCATAAATTGAATACACTAATGCCGAGGGGGAAGAGGAATTAGGGGATATTAAGAAGAAAGGGGAAGCGAGAGAAGAATGCGAGAGAGAAGAGGAAAAAAAAAGAAAAAAAAAATGAAAACCTTCCCCCCTCCATTCTCTTTTCTCTTCTCTTTCTCTATTCTTCTCTTTCATTCCTTTCTTATATTTCACATCTTCCTTCCGACCCTCTAGTCAGCCTCTCAGAAAATGTCGAGTCATCGTTGGTCTCTGAACCTGACTTTCCTCTCAGCATAAAGCTTTCAGGAAGGGCCAGCGATTACTTAATTATTCACGAACAAACAAACAAACAAGAAATAAATAAAAAATAAAGACAATACTCGATCACTCCTAATAAATTGATGATGACTAAACGAATGAATAAACGACGAACGATTTGGACAAAACAAATTGAAAGTAAATGTAGAACGAAGAGAATGCAAAATGCAAAAATACACAATAAAAGAACCACAACAGAAATAGCGACGTGGTTACGTCACCAACGCCACCACAACTACGAGCAGTCTGCTTAATAACATTAGCAGGGAAGGGAAGTAGGGAGGAAAGAGATGGGGTGAGAGAAGGGTGGAAGAATAGAGAGAGATAAAGGGAGACAGGGGGGATACAGAGGGAGTGAGAATGTGTGAAAGAGAGAGAGAGATGAGAGGAGGGAGGGAGAGAGAGAGAGAGAGAGAGAGAGAGAGAGAGAGAGAGAGAGAGAGAGAGGAGAGAGGAGAGAGAGAGAGAGAGAGAGAGAGAGAGAGAGAGAGAGGAGAGAGAGAGAGAGAGAGAGAGAGAGAAGAGAGAAGACAGAGAGAGAGACAGATGACCAATAGAAAAACACAATAAATACCAGAACACAAAGCAACCCAAAACACCGAAAAGAAAGAAAAAAATTAGAATGAAGAGAAAATAAATACGAAAACGGACGCAGAATGCCAGGAACATTAACATCCATTGATTTAGTCTACGACAGTGAGCTCGTGCCTTGAACCTCTCCCAATTAAAGGAAGATATATCAGAATACAAAGTCTCAGTAACAAGAATCTCTGTTTAAAAACAACACAGTTATTATTATCATTATTATTATTAGATTATTATCATTATTTATTTTATCATTATCGGTATCATTACCATTATCATTATTATCACTATCATCAATATCATCATTATTTTCACGTGTGCGCATGGAAAGATAATTTTCAGATATTCTCATTACTTCACTAAGAGGCAAACTTTCTTTAATAAATATACAAATATGGAGACAGGAAAAAAGAAAACATAAAACTTTTCTCCCATAAATACATAAATAGAGTAAATAGACAAATCCAACACGAAAAAAAGAAAAATTAACCTCTAAAAAATATATATACATTAATGAAATGAAGTCAGAAATAACGAAATAATATCAAAATAAAATCCCCCAAATTTTATCATGAAAGTTAATCAGAAATTTTGGAAAATACAAAAAAAAAAAAAAAAAAAAAAAAAAAAATCGTCCCTCTGCATTACCTCTCCCGTGACCTTTGACCTCTTCCCAACAGCGTAACCCTCGCCCCCCTAAAAAAAAAAAGTACAAGTAATTACCAACGGTTTATAATTATCCTTCCCATTAACTTAACTCAGGCATTTCTTACCGTTTCTTCACGAATTCTTTAAGAAAAAGAAAAATAGTAGGCAGTCTTTCTAGTCGTTACCCAGGCTAACAATTAAGAGTTGCTTTTTGTTCTGGTAGGGACTGTGGGCGCGCGTGTTTATGTGTTTGTGGCATGTTTGTGTGTGTGTTGTGTGTGGTGCGTGGTGTTGTGCATGTTTTGTGTGCGTGAGTGTTTGTGCGTGTGGAGTGTGTTTGTGTATGTTTGTGTGCGTGTGTTTGTGCACGTTTGTTTGCGTGTGAGGTGTTGTTTGTGCAATGTTTTGTGTGGGAGTGTGTTTGTGCATGTTTGTGTGCGTGTGTTTGTGCATTTTTCTTTGTTTCCATGTTTATGCGTGTTTTGTTGCAGCGTTTGTTTGCATGTGGGAGTGTGTTTGTGCATGTTTGTTTGCGTGTGTTTGTGCATGTTTGTGTGCGTGTCTTAGTTCACGTTTGTTTTCGTGTGGGAGTGTGTTTGTGCATGTTTTGTGTGCCGTGTGTTTGTTGCATGTTTTGTGTGCGTGTGGGAGTGTGTTTTGGCTGCGTCTACTTCTCTGGAATCTGTCTGTGTGTTCTTTTCTGTCCTGTTTGCCTCTCTGTCTGTCTGTCTAACTGTCTCTGGTGTCTGTCTGTCTGTCTTGTGTTGTGTGTTTACCTGTCTCCATTTCGAGTAAAAGTTAAAAAACGGTAGAATAATGGTCATTCCAGTTTCGACATTTAATAAAATGCACGGTTAGTATTATTGCCAGCGATCACGCAAAATATAAATGTCGCCGCATGCTTTCAAATATTTTTTTTTCTCTTTCTCTCTTTGTCCCTCTTCCTCGCCTCCTTCCTGCCCTTCCTCCCTCCCTCTCCCTCCCTCCTTTCCTCCTTCCCCCTACCTCCCCCTAACTTCCATTCACCCTCCCCTCTCTAATACTTGCATTTTTTATCGGTTTAATTGTAATGCAGTATCGAGATTGAATCATACATATTGGTAATAAAAAAAGTAATAACTATTGTAATATTCAACAGTATTGACGATGGAATTATAATTTCGTTTTTCCCCCTTTTACCCATTTGTTTTTGTCTCTCTGCCTGTCTGTCTGTCTCTCTCTCTCTCTCTCTCTCTCTCTCTCTCTCTCTCTCTGTTGGTCTCTCCTCTCTCGTTGTCTTGTCTCCTCTCTCTCGCTGTCGCCGTCTCTCTCTGTCGCTGTCTCTCCTCCCTTTCCCTCCTCCCTCCCTCCTGGTCTTTCACGCAGCGGAAGCTACCGTAAAAACGTTTCCGTATTGTGTCATGAATCGCTCTTGTGAACGTTTCTCGACAAAAATCTCCAGCGCCAAACCAAAGAGATTCTAAGAGGGTTGTTTACCTTTACCCAGCGGGTCGACACCTTGGTTATGTTATGTAAACACTAGCGTAGGGAGATGCCGTAGGAAGAAGCTCGATGGAGGAACAAGGGGGAATGGAGAGGAGGGAGGGAGGGAGGGAAGGGGGGACAGGGCGGAGGGGAGGGAGGAACGGGGGGGGCAGGGAGGAGAGAAGGAAAGAGGGAAGGGAGGAAAACGGAGGGAAGGAGGGAGGGAAGAAAGGAAGAAGAGATAGAGAAGAAAATGGAGGAAGAGAAAGAAAAGAAGAGGAAGGGGAGGAAAACGAACGGAGATGAGGACGGACGGAATAACAAAGTAAAATAAACAGTGATAAAGAGTGAAATGATGAAGGGAACTAAGGAAAGAGGTTACAGAATTGAGAAAGATGGGCTATAAATCGAAAGAGAAGACGGAGAAAACAAAATCATGAGGGAGCGAAAGGAAGAGAGAAAAGAAGCAACAAAAAGTATTTAAAATATTCCAGACAAAATTTTCTCACTAAAAAAAAAAGAAAAATGAAACAGAAAGGGTTTGCCATTTATCCAATTAACATTAGTGGAACCTTAAAATCAAAACCTGAAAGAGAGGGAAGAGGGAGAATGGAGAGAGAGAGGAAGAGGACGAAGGAATAGTGATGCCGAGGAAAAGGAAGAGAGGACAAAGAAACAGAAAAGAAAAGGAGTAAAGTAAAAGAGTAAAAGAAAGAAGATAAGATCCAGGGATAGAAAATAAAGGCAGGGAGAGAAAGTGAAAGAAAGAAAAAGAAAGAAAACGAGTGAGAGAGATACAAACAAAAGCCCATTAAGAGAAAGAGTATGAGAGAGAGAGAGAGAGAGAGAGAAGAAGAGAGAGAGAGAGAGAGAGAGAGAGAGAGAGAGAGAGAGAGAGAGAGAGACAGACAGAGAGTGAGAGAGGAATAACGAGAAAAAGAAGAAAAAGAAAAGAAAACAAAAACTGAAAGAGGACAAAGCAAAGAATAAACAAGCCTCCGCCCGCTTGTGCCAACAGGGGGTACTAATTAAAAACAGGTCACACAATCGTCATGAAATGGTGGGTTAGCCAACCGCAATGACTAAGTAGGGAAGC